ATTTTATATACATATGCTTTTTTCGAATAAAATCAATTAGAAAATCATATGAAATTTGTTTACAATTGCTTAAGTCCAAAGCACCACTTAATTGTTCTATTTAAAAATTTTATGGAGAGACTGACACGTCACCGGTTTATTGTTTTTATATTATACTAAATAATTCAGATGTACTTTTTTTTTTAATGAATAGAGCCACTACAAATTTAAATACAATCATTTAATTCAAATTCAATGTATATAACTAATTATTATATACAATAAAATCAATTTTTAAAATGTACCCTTATATTTGATTGTATCATTCGTAAATTTCTTATTAATTTACTGTATAATTACTGTATGTTAGCATAGTTTAATAATATATTAATGAATAAATTTATAGTAATGTATAAAAGGTTAATGAACACATATGATTAAATTTATTTATAAAATATATTGTATTATATCGTAAATATATATACATATTTAATTATAATGTATGTAATTGTATAATTGAGATCATGTAAACCAAAGAATAGTTTCTATATCGTCTAATAATAAACATTATATTTAACAATACATAAATATTAATTTAATATAGAAATTCAATACATTATTTAATTAATGTTGTTATGAATACAACAAATTTGACTAATGAAAATTGAAAAATTGAAATCCAAATTACTAATACTATTGAGAAGATTTAATTTGAGATAAATTTAAATTTCAAAGTATACTTGCTATCAAAACTTTAAATCTTACTAATAAATTATGAAGAAATATTCAACCCACTAGGTGATCTTTAAAACATAGATAATATTGTTATGAATAAAAATCTTTGTTATTATATTTAAAAATTGTAATAATGAAGTTATTTTGGTAAGTGTTTATTTTATTAAATTAATATTTATTTATTAGCATAGTATTTTGTTTTTGTTTTCTACCATTACTAAGAAATGCATTAGCCAATGTATTAAAAAATAGTAGTTTAAAAGATAACATCAATCTAATATTTTATTTATTTTGGTTTCTAATTAAAACTTTTAAATTGTATATGTTGAATGACAAATTTATGAAAGTTTTAGAAATCCAAACAACTTATTTAAAAAATGAAATTATTCTTAGGTAAATTATTAAAACTTTTTTAATACCACAGTATTATAATTTTTCCTTATATAAAAAAAAATCAAAAATATTTACTACACAATTAATATTAAACAAAATGCGTAATGTCATTCGTTACTTGAACATTTTTTGTTATATTATACACTTTTTCATACTAAACTATATTTTATGAAATATCTGAATAATTTTAAGTACTTAAAACTTCATTTATAATTAACATTCTCGTAATTAACTTTACTATTAAAGTTATTTTCTTGATTTTAATTAACCTAATGTATGATTTTCTTAAATCGCAAATATTAAAACTTAAAGTTATAATACAGTATAGAACAAAATAATGAGTAAAATATTTAAGACTAAAGCTTCAATACTATATCATAAAAGTATCTGAAATATTTTTTCATCGAAACAATAAAGAAAAATTAAATAGTAAAATTAAATTAAATAATCATTATTTTATCTTAATTAATTAAATACACTTGGTGAATAAATACTGTTTCACAATAAATTAATAAGTTTTTCTTAATATATCATGAACGATTAATCTTAAAATTATATAATTACATTTTATAGAAGTACCATATGTTAATGTATTTTCTATATATAGTGATACTTTTATAAATTTTAAAATACTTGAACAGTTTACTTAAGGAAATTGATTATCGCATGAAACAAAAGTGAAAAAAATTATAAAAAAAATTAAAATATATATATTTTTATGATTCTATATGTGTATCATCGTTCCATATGTTTCAAATATATTGCAATGAAATAATTAATTTGAATAATAACTGGGCATTTTAATCTGTAGTATTATTTTAAGATGTTGCTAAATATTTACAATTTTCCACAATAGCATAATAGATAATTATTGTTTAATTTAATATTTTAACTAATCAACAAAAAATTTCGTTATGTATTAATTACTAGACTTTTTAAAAATGAAAAATTTTCTTAGTAATATAAATTTTTATTAATTTATATAATTGTCTAAGAGGTTTGCTCATTTGTATGCAAACGCTATTATTAAATGATAATTTTTGTTTACTAATTTACTATTTATCAATTGAAGTAAAGATTAAATTATACAATTGCTTTTGTACTGCATGAAATCTAAATTATTTGTGTTAATCTTAACAAAAAATTGAGATCGTTTAAGTGAATCAATTTTTCAGCAACACATCGATGGATCGATAATCAAATTAAATACTCGAAACATTTTATCGAAAACAAATATCCAAACTAGATGAACGATGAATGTCGAGGACAAAAGATAATTTAAATTTCTAATAGAAAATAATATATGTTCTAGCTCATTCACAGTTTCCTCTACAACTTAATATTAAAAGGAAAAAAAAACCAATATCTTCAATCATGTAAAGTTATTGAAAAAAATATTTAAAGAGTACATATAACATTACAAACATCAGGTATTTTATATAATATAATAAATATAGAAATAGGTTACTAATGTGTATTGTGATTTCTATTTTTCAGAAATAATTGTTAACAAGTAAAAGATAATATAATGGTTATTTTATTATTATGAAATAAATAATACAATACATCAATGAAATTATATAATAATATTATAATTTTATTAATTATCATTCGATAGCATAATAGTTTTTTTAATGTTTAAAAAGCGGATTAAATTTATGAAGTAGAGATAATGTTTGATATATTAAATTTCATTGTTTCATCTATCATTACAGCAGTACCAATTGTGTAATATGATTACATTAATTTGAATAAATGTCTTTTATTTTTTTCAGTAAATTATTCTTTTAAAACATATTTTGTTCTAATTTTTTTAATTATTTGCTATTACATGTCACATTATTGATAATTATGAAAAATTCTGATGACATTATTATATAAATTATTTTATATTTCTTTTGTATAAAAAAATTTATTTAAATTTTCAGACTATGTATTGTTATTATTAAATAAATTACACTGAAGAGATTTATTAATTCTATGCTTTATAACGTTTCTAGCTATACGTGCTCTGTGCTTTACGGCATCGTGATTTCATATCAATATGAATTAATTCTTCTCTTACTATAATATAGCAATTTAAAGTATTAATTTTCAATTATACAAATTACTTATAATAAATTAAATTTTCATCAATTTTCTTAATAAAATAGTGATATATGGCTATTGCCCTTTACAAGAAAATTTATAGGTAGATTTTCATATCAATGTGTCACGTTAATGATCGATCAATCTTATAAAATCTTTATAATTTAAAAATATTTAAAAAAAGATAGCATTATGTCGATTACAATACATATATACTGCTATATATTACTCAAGTTTTTAATATTTAATTTGAAATAAAATTTCACTTTTTATTTAATACGTATTGTAAAACGTATATGTGTTCCGTATAGCACTTTCATTTACAGAATAATTGGCTAAAAATAAGGAATGTAATATATAATAGAAATAAATTATTCAATTGAAAAAAATTGATTCCATGAAAATTATATTTTATGTAGATAATCATGCAAAAAGTGTATGTTGCACGTTCCGCATGGGCTGTGCCGGGAAAACCACGTAAAAGTGACATGTTGATAAAACGAACTAACAAAATGATCGTGATAGTGATACAATCAAATAGAAATGTTATACAAGCGGGTTAGATCTCAGCTCTTTGCATACTTTCTTTGCCTTGTGTGACCACTCTTACTATTGTGTTATTTACACTACACGCTGGCTCAAATACTTCGAGCTTTCTTTCTACCTTTTTCACGGATGTTGTTTGCCATCTCCACTCTGCTCAACGGCATCAACATTGCGCAACATATCTACGACTTTTCTGTTCATAATTGGCTAGCTTTAACTATTTATTTACCAAGCTTTGTGTGTCTCACTAATGGCCATATCTACAAGGACGAGTAAGTTCACGAATCCCCCTAAATATCTATAATATTCGTAAGCTTCTCGTTATTTCAAAATTAATATAAGATTTTTTGATTTTAATACTTATAGGGGAAGATACTAATAATTAATATATCGCTATACTTACATTTTATTAATATAGTAGCAATACTTAAAAAATCGTTATACTGAGAGGAGGGAGAGTGCAGCTTCGTTTCGTTGTACGCTGGTGAAAGAATAAGAGTAGAGTAGAGTAGAGAGAGAGAGAGAGAGAGAGAGAGAGAGAGAGATAATAATTGTGAAAATTTTTTGTCAAAGCTACGAGAAACGAGAATGGCAATAATTCTCAAAACAGATTTAACTACAGTCACTATTCAGTTGTATAATAATCGATTAATCGAAAATATTAGGAATACATTGGAAGTCGTTTGGCTTGTATTCAACATAGATTTATGTAGACACCTTGAGGTCTGTCTTCTACAGGCCACAAACCATAGACTAATTGAAATAATCTATGAATGGCAATAAATAAGTAGATTTGGTAGAGCAGGTGTAGTAATACGATAAATAACATTCAAATGTGACGAATTACAATGACAACTATTTTGTAATTATAAAAGCCGTGAAACTATTAATCGCGCTTGTATTAGATGATCAGTGTTGTCAGAATGTTGACAGTTTTAGAGTGAAGAAGTGAAAAAATAGCAATCTGATTGAGACAGCTTCGATGGATCTGAATCTTCACAATTGAAGATATAAACATGAAAAAGTTTCGGAGACGATCATCATCCGACTAAACTGCAAGATCGCATATGTGAAAGGTGATTACTGTAAGGTTTAAATGTTATATATAGAGAGGAAAATAATAAATAAATAAACGAGTGTATTATTCAAAATGTAATGTAATATAAAAAAGTAAATTTCATGAGTATAATACAAAAGTCATGGTAATTTAATTTATATATTTACTTATAAGCATTCGTAGCGATAGTAAGAATGCAACAGTCTCTTATATGATGGATGTTTCAATAGTGTTCAATAGTTGTCATGAGCATTGTACTCATGACCGTGACCACCATAAGTACCACCAGAGTGATCATTTCCACCACTGTTATGCACATGAGCAAAAAATCCTCCATGGGGATCTGCGTGGTACTTGACTGTACGCACATTACCGCCTGGCTCTTTTATTGTATATTCACCAGTCACGTGCTTACCTATAGGCACGAATATGTTAAATGAAATTACGAAGCTTCATTGTACATTGTGATTTAATCGATGCTCACATTCACATTATCAATGCATAAAACTAAAAAAATAATGTTATTATACAACAATAGGATACGATTTATTAACAGGACAAGAATTATTAAATTAAACAAATTACTAATGAAAAGTTAATGTCTATAGTATTTAGAAGTAATGTAAATAAATATTTTACAAATATTTAGAATATTTAGAATTTTTTAATTTAACGATTGTAAATTATTATTTGAAACTTTTCTTTAAAAAAAAAAGAAAAGAAGATTTTATTAATGCTTTATATTTATTATTAAATCATTCGGTTATGCCTCATTATACAATGAAAATTATTATTATACTTAATTGCTTCTGTGTGTGCGCGCGCGTGTATGTCAGTGTTTGCGTATTTAAAATATATTAACTATATAATACACTGAATATTACACTTCTACTATTTACGCTAATATTTATATTTATTATTATTCTATTTTTATATGTTAGTTAGAGATAGTGCATAATAAAAAATAAACATTAATGCACTTATAAGAATAAATTCTTATTAAATAAAATTATGTCATTAAATTTATTTTATTTCCAAATATATTTTTATCTAGCAATTTATTCTTATAATAATGCACGATTTATATTAAATTAGAATTTTTTCCCTTTTCAATAACTTTCAGTATGCGATGGATATTCTGCTCTTAAATCAATGTTAATTGAATATTTAATCATATCTGAAAATTTTAATCAATTAAAATTCTACGTAACTTATAAGAATATATATTGAATTATTTTACAAAATTAATTTTCTGAACAGGTCAATCAATGTCCCTAAATTAAATCGACAGAAGTAATGTAAGCATTTTATCTTGTTCCTTATGGTCATTATATGTACTTTTAAAAGACTTGAGAATGAGATCGCAGGCAAATTTTTCTCTAATATATAAAAAATAAAAAAAAAAATAAAAAAAAAAAACAAAAAAAATATGAAAAAAAATTAAATACTGAAAAGTGGCTTGAAAAATTAATATTACCATCGCGTTGTTCCTTCTGACCATGATAATCTCCGGTATGATGATCCTCCACGCCATAAGAAAATTCATATTTGGGATGAGCGACGTAATCATAAGTATGGTGTCCATGCTTATCGTGGACAGTGATCTCATGACCTGGTCCCTCAACTGGTCCATGGAAATGGGCAAAGCTATGGGCATGACCAGCCAATGTGAGGTCGACTAGTGCCAGGGTGGATAAGGCCACAACTACAACAAACTGTCCTCGCCAAAAATTTGTTATTTCAGTACAAGTAAGATTTTTTTTTTTATGATCCTTTTATTTTCACAATTACTCAGTAAATAACATATTTCATAAAAAAAGTTTCGTTCTTTATTTGCATTGAAAGATCAAGAAAATATGCAATTGTCTTGACAAAACTTGCAAATTATTATTTCTCATTTTATTTAAAAATTTAAATATTTTTTTCATAATAAATATTAATTTAAATATTAATTATGAAAGAGATTCTAAATACCATTAAGGAAAATATTGTACATATATATTTTTAAATATTATTGATAGAGTAGAGCTAAAGTAAATGTAAGAAATCGAATCCATATTCAATATCATTTAATGCACATATCCGAGAAACCGGAACTCAACAAACATTAAGTAAGCCTCAATATTTGTTAACAGTAAATAATTGATTTCGCAATTTTAATATTTTTACAGTTTTATAGGATTATGATTGCCTATATACAATAAATTTTTTAAATTCATTAATTTTTTATCATCGCTATAATTTGTTAATTATACATTATTGTTAGGTTTTTTTTTACATAATTCTTATAATAAATTAAATTATATTTATTAATGTAATATTAAAAGTAAAAAAATTAAAATTAAAATTTTGTTTGGAAATCAAATTGCGAATATATAAGAGAAAAATTAGACTTTAAAATAACTACATGATAATATATTATTCCGCTGCTGTATAAAAATTTTTTACATCTATCTGTATTTTATTCAGAGTTAAAGTAGAAACTTTTCTAGAGTAGAAATATTTTTTTCTGTGCGCCAAAGAAAATTCAGGTTATAAAACACATAATTTTATCTCAATTATAAAATAAAAATTACCGTTTAAATAATGTTGTTTTTAATAAATGTTGTAATTAATTGTTACACAATATTTTAGTACAAATCTTACTTTGCAGAAATTTCTATAAAAAATAATAAACAATAAAATCAATACTTGAGAATATTAAATGTGTATATTATTAATTTAGTGTTTGGTGAATTAATATTTTACATACAAAATGTATCTAAATGCCTGGATGGTAATATTTATTTTATCATGTTATAATTTTCAAAATTTCTTCAAAAAATAAACAGAAATAATTTCATTGGAATAGTAATAAGTTCGTATAGAAATTCAATTAAAAAATTATAATGTAATTTATTATACAACTAGAAATTCCATGAGGAATTTCTGATTTGTATTTATTTATAATAAACCACTCTAATTAAAGCAAATTTTTCCCCATATATTTTCTTTAATACGTATGCTACTATGGAAATTGTTAAAAAAAAAATGCAATTTCATTATATCACCGAAAAAAATAGTATTTTATGAATTCCAGCATAATATTTTATACACGAATCCAATGTGAAATTATAATGTAAAAGTTCCTTTTTGCATAAAGACGTAAATTAAATATATAGGTTTAGGGAAAAACAAACCTTGAATACCATGGCGCGATTGAAATATTCCAATGTTCTCTAGTTAGATAATGCAGAAAATTAACATGATCGTCGATAGAAGGACGGTGCTTATATACCTGATCCAGCTTTGCTTCTTTTGCGAAATTCTGGCGGCTACAAAGGTGCCCCCGAATGGGCGAAGCAGGTGACAAAAAGACGTGCGGTGACCAATCGGCTTTCCTATGCGCATGTCCACCTGGTACAACCTTCACGTTGTGGAAACAATGATTATGACAGCCCAAAGCGCTAGTATTGATATTCGTATACATATAGTCGGATACTTTGATCAGGAGTTACCTTATTATATATATATATATATATATATATATATATATATATATAGGACGAATATTTGCATGCACGAGTAATGTTGTACGCGCAATTCGAAATACTTATGTGACTTGCCATGGCTAATGCACCTAATGATGTTTGCTTAAACTTAAATGAACCAATTTATGATAATGAGAAAAAAGCGAAATTCCACACTTATTTCAGTATATTTATATTAAACATATTATTGTCATAAACCGTTAATGCATTTTTATAAATTATAAAATATAGGGGAAATCATACTGGTGAATAACCATTAAAATTAAAAAATTTTTTAAATATTTTCAAAAAGAAAACTATACTTATAACAATAATGTAAAATAGATTTATAATCTGAAGATGTTTACTTAAATAATAGAAATAATAATTTTCTTTAAAACGTCCTCTAATTTTGTAAACGGATTTTAAGATAATAACAACTACTCCTCATGTAATTAACTCCATGTAATTAATAACATGTAATTCAATGTTAAATAATAAAACTCATATAAATTTTTAATTTATCATTGAATAAATTTATAAGTAATTGCAATTCGTATGAAATAATTCAGAGATATTTATGGAATCTCAAATAGAAATTTTAATTTAGCATTGTTAACTTTTGTATTGCCTTAAGTATTCATACTCATTGCGATGAATGTTAATGGTATTTTAAATATTATTAATTTGAGTTTAATTAATTTTATTTTCTAAAAAATAAAAAAATTTCTTATACATATTATTCATTCGCAATTAGTATTTTTACAATATATACTATAATATATATGAACATATTTGTAATACAAAAGCACACTATTCATTGTTAAAGTGAATATGACAAATAATTAATTATTATATAGATTTATTATGAATGCCAGGAATAATTAAATATAACATTTATTATTATGCGTAAATATCCGACTGTCTTTACATTTATTCTTCTACCCATCGAA